GGCGAAGCTGTGTAGTTGGCCCAGTCACCCCAAGCGCTTCCAGTAAGACCATCCTTTTCAGGGGTTTATCTCGAAAAGAAGATACTATGAATCAATACCAAGCTACGACAGGTTACACTCATGTCATGCTAGCTCACATTGGTCTTAGTTTTTTTTGTCACGTCTGCGCGGTCTAAATAACTTCTAGGAATCTTTCAGCAGCCGCAGCCTAGTACCTAACTCAATCTTCCATCTTGTGCAATCTGTTGCCCTTCGAATCAAACTAGATGAAATATGTGCGCATACCGTATACCCTCACCCACAGCAACAATGATGCGCCACCAAGCATGCGGATGTTACGAAACCCCGCCTGAAAGAACATGCCGATGATGGCCATCATCGCCAGCCTTCCGTTGGCCAACTCCGCCGAAAGTTTCTTAGTTTTCTCAGCAGGGTCGCTGGAGGTCAAGACCTTGAAGCCGAAGTCGCCCGCAGCGGCGGGGGTGCCTGGCGACTGGTCCTGGGAGACCTCGCAGAACGCCATGTAAGCGAGGATCTGACCCCAGCCTGCTGCTGGAACTTTGGAGATCGCCGCCAATCCATTCGGGACATCCGCAAACTTGAGGCCTGCTGATGGGCTAAGATAGCCTGGGAACTTGCCCGTGATCCTCAGACATCACACAAGAAGAAAACATCACACTATACAACCGTTCTTTCACTAAACATAAATCTTCAGAAACATCATCAGCACAATCACACGCAAAACAGCAATCAACAAAAATCACATTGAAGGAAAGTTGCTCCGGAGTAATGTATCCCATTGTGGCGAGCATGGAGATCCTTCCATGCTTAAGCTCTGTCTGGCGGCGGCGCTTGAAGTTCTCCACACTACCGTCGGCCGTGAACCTTATCAGGTTACAAACTTGATTACCAGGATATTGCAAATTGTAAGTCAATCGTTTTGTCTGTGTGTAGTGTTCAGCTTGTTTCTTAACTTAAACATAGCCAAGTTTCCCTGCGGGGTCCCAGAAGCCAACTGGGTCCTGGACCCCAAGCTCGTTCCTGACAGGTGATTCGGAGCGCTACTCCATGAATCTCAACTGCTCACCCCAAAAAGTGTTTAGGGTTTACCCAGATCAACACCGAAAACTCCTTCATTGATTTTAACAGGACCTGAATCCTGAAATCTCAAGTCACTGAAAGCGTAGAATCCGATCTGTCCCCTGCATAAACCCTATCTAGCCTTGTCAGGCCCCTGCATCACCCTTGGTATTCCGTGTGCAGCCCTGTATAACTCCTGTTTAATCCATATAGCTCCTATACAACCACATAAAGCTCCTCCTGAACTCAGAAATCGCACACAGGATTCTCGTGATGCTGGGTCTTCAAGGGTAAACACGCCAGCAATCCTAAGCCCACACCCAGAGCCCCATAATCCGTCCTAAGACCTACACTGCATGGCTGCAGCTCCCATCACTCTGTTAATCCTAAGCCCAATAATCCACCCTAAGCCCAAACCCTGCAGGGAGTGGCTCCAATTCGTGAACTCGCTATGCTGTTCAGCGCCCAAGGGGCTCAAAGGCGTTCAGGCGAACTGGCGCGGTCTTCACGCCCTTTGCCTACGAAGCTCAGTCGGGCTAGGGCTTAGGCGTGTTACGGACACCAAAATCTCAATAATGATGGGTATGATGGATGAATTTGAAAAGTCAGACACAACAAGTGACAAGGACGCAGTAACTCTGACAGACCTCGTCCCTAAACCACCCTCCGCAGACCTTCCCGCGACGCTCAACACATAGCTTTCCTAAAGCCAAACCCCGAAACCCTCAACCCTCCCAGGTCCCATAGCCCCAAACCTACAACCCGCCTACAACCCTAGAGCCTGAATCCACGCAACCCCAATCTTGAGCCCTCATACAGCCCACCTGTGGTCTAAGCGCCCCTGCGGCCAACACTGCCGCCGCGGCTGCGAGAGGCAACGTCGACGATGAGGTCGCGTTAGCTGACAAAAGCGTTTGGGGGTTCAGGATTCGGGGCTTGAGGTTCAGGGTTCTCGGTGCGACCAAATCAGGCTGCAGCGATAAGTTTCTATCCATGTAGCAAGAATTGAAAGCACAGTACAAATAAATGCCATTGAGTTTGCCAGGCCTCCCGCCCCAGAACGTATCATGGTCCCTATAGCACGCTTGACACCAACACGGCAAACCCTTCACAAAGATCTGCCCGAGACTTTCTTCCAAAAGAATTGATAAGTTGGCGGAATCTAGACATGTCCAGACAAAGCTTGAGAATGGACGAAAGATCGGGGATGTCTCAAATCAGGGGTACCTTTCTGAGGTCCCGATCACAAGGATTATAGCCTTTGGGGGTCTATATTGAATCATTGAAGTCCATTTCTGGAAACTACCTAAACCCTGAACACTAGACCTGTAGTTTCCTTAGACCGATAATGAAAATAGTATTTTTGATATTTCCTTAGGGTTATACTATAAAACAAACTAAAAATAATTCCTAAGGACAGAACAGAAACTGTACTCTCCTCTGAACCCTAAACCCTAAACCCTAAACCCTCCTTATTGTCCCTCCTACCTGAAGCAGTTCCGCGTAGTCTGCTGTTGGTGGGAGCCGCCTTCGAGACTGCAAAGAACCAGGCGGCTTTAGGGTTTAGAGTTTAGGGCTTAGGGTTTAGCTCATAGGGAACAAGACTTCGAGAAAACCCTATACTTACCGCTGACCAGCAAGGAATTAAAGAAGTGATCCTTATAGTACTCCCTGTAAAGTTCCGAGTGGAATCTTAATTTCCATGTTCTATTCCATTCCTTCATTCCCTACTAACCGGAAGTAAGTAAACTGTAAATCTTCAAAGCTACCTCTCATGAAGGAATTTACTGTAAAGACCACTTACAGGACGCTTTGACTACAAGTACCATAAGCAAGTTTATAACTGTAGCTCGCCTGCTTGTACTGCAAAATAAACGTGAACCTCGCAATTAAGGCCTCTACATCAAGGGAGGGTTGTACCCCTAAGGGGGTTGTACCCCTAAGGTTTCACCTCTGTTCGGCTTCTCCAATAAAAACCCAGCATAACCCAGACATCCTCGTAGGAGCGTCCTAGAATCCCGCTGAAAGGAAACCCCAAACCTAAGGGTGCGACCTTAAGCCCTACCCTAACCCTGAACCCGATTTGGGGCCTAGGGCCTTTAGGGTTTAGGGTTCTGGGTAAACCTTTATCAACCTTAACCTTTGGGGTTAAGCTTTAGGGTAGGGCTTCGGCTTTACCCAGACCCTAAAATAAACTCTAAACCCTAAACCGCGTGTGTAGTTTCTTCTTTTGGAGGTATCGATTTTTTAGGCTTCGGTTTGGGTTTGGTTTGATGAACAGGTGAGTTTAGGGTTTAGGGTTT